AAAGACACGAAATGTTTATAAAAGTGAGCATGAGAATCGCTGTCTGTCGCCTGCCACTTCGAGAATGAGGCAGGCCTTCAGCTTATTGAAAAGCCACATCAAACAATGAAATTCCCAAAACAAATTTACCAGCTCGATTCAAACACAACAAATAATCTAATATAGTAATATCAAATGGTGAATATGTAAACGCTGGTGATAATATGAAATTTTCGGGTTGACGACATCCTATAATGCAGCGGTATTGAACGTATAAACGTATAAAATTCGCAGAAAGCTGAACACTTCAGATGCTGTTTAGATTATTTATCACACGAGAGTTTTGTGGCTATTTTCTGGTTATGTGAACGGTAACAATTCACAGAGTACTAACAACCTTAAAAGTAATATCCATAATAATAGTGATCAAAAATGGGAAATCTTGTAAGAAACGACAATGAAATGTTAACAGAGAAAGTAAGCAAATTGCAGAATAAAAATACACCAAATGAAATATTACTAGGGTCTCTCTCGTACGATCAGTTAAAAATCACAAAAACGTGTAAATTGAGCACAACGATTCATCGAAAACAAAATGTAATGTTACGCAATTGAAATAAAATGATTAGAATTGAACACAGATCAGAGTGCGATTATAGCGCTGCGAATGCAGTCATCCTTATCAATCACTACCTACAGCCAGCCACTTATCAATGAGCAACACTCAATTACAGTTCTAAAAAATTCTCGCGCTCACTTCAGTGCATGTTTCCCAGTAATGAGTAATACTCTCTTCACACTACTCCACCTGCTTCTGTCCCAAACCCACAAAGCTTCCAATGCAGGTCCCCATTCCCACTTTACCCGATCCGATGATTACATCACAACGTTTATGTGAACAGAATATAGAAAACGCGATCGAGTGATAATTACAACGAAGGAACAGTAATAATAAAAACGTTACTCATAACAGTCCTAGCAAGAACTCCTCAGAGCGAGTCAACCGAACCGAACCAAACCGCACACCAACCCTTCTCCTAATATAACTGACAAACGTTTCAAATTCATCAACTTACACATACTTGTTCATAAAAAACACTCGCCCAATGAAATGCTCGAATTTCAAATCAAAACAAACACAAAAAAGGCGCCAGGAGGGAAGAAAAACAAAACAAACGGAAAAAAGTGAAATGATCGCAAAACGATACTGGCTTGGCAATCCTCTATCTAAACAGCAGTTTTGCAGTAAATTTCACAAGAAGACAACCATTCTGGTTTACAAGCAGACTTTATGGGATTTGCTCGAGCCATCGAGATCGGTTCAAATGTTTCAAGCGTTCCATCTCGAAATTCTACGTCGATTATCCATGATAGACGCAAAATTTCCAGTGAGAACGAAACAATCTATCAAAAGTATGCAAAAAAACTTTTGCGGGAAAATATTCAAACAGAACACCAAAATCAATAATGCAGAAAACCCGATGAAATTTGCATTGAAACAGTTCGAAATTGACAAAATCTGAACGAAAGTCTGCAGATGAACATTGCGATAACTAAAATAAGTCTCAAACACTAACCTTTTCTGAACACTACGGATCAAATAAATTAATCAATTCATAATAACAATAATTATGATAATAACAGTACACTGAATACACCATCAATTATATAATTGAACAATCGTTCAAAATGTCCGCATACGCTTGTAACAACAATAATCATAATCATAAAAACGAAAATAATGCAGTGATGATCAGCAGATGATGCGCACTAGTTATCTTGCTGTGATGCAGTCATTACAACGTATCTAACGGCAAACGCTATCATCACAACACCGGCCACCACCACTAGATTATAGGTGAACGATGAATAGTCACTCTCTTCACCAAACCTTCAAAAAATGACAAATTTCCTTCGGTTCAAATTCGTCGACTGCACATTGTCGTAAAAATGACTAATTGAAGTGCATACACGATTTTCTGCATAATATAACCGATGAAATTCAACTGTGCAATAAATTCATTAAAACAACAGAAATTTTATCTGAATAAATCTCACCTCCTCGACGAGTTCGAATCCTGCGCGGCCAAGTCGTCGCATAAAACTCGATTCTTCTCTTCTTCTAAAGTCTTTCGAATCTGGTTGGCAAGATCTTCGAACAGCTCGCAGAACACTCGATCCTGCAATCATGCACAATTCTTTAGACATTTCATACGAACAATAATGAAACAACGAAAATGCTTCGGAAAACGAGAAAACTTCACATATAAAAGTGGATGAATGTTCTGAGATATAATCAGAAAGAGAGATATTCAACGAACATTTAAATTGTATTCCCTCGATTTCTTGGCCAACGATCGCTTTTCGGCTTCACTCGATACGATACTGCCCAATGTCGGCGATGTGTCGTTCATAAACGATAAGAGACCTGTGATTATTGTCGAAACCTGAAATAAAACAAAATAAATTCCTTCATGAAGCATTCAAAAAAACTGACAATAGCTCAATATCACTGACGAAGTGATATTACCGCTACGATTCGTTCTAATCATGGCTCGAAATGCCGATCGCAATTAAGACTCGAACTAGGTGGCTAGTCACCAACCAACAACACGCAATTAACAAACCGTCCATGCGGGATTCCAGGTGTCCGGATGAAAATCGGATATGGACAAACACAGCCGAGTGTTTGGTTGGAAGCGACCCGACGGTGTGATCATATAGATTGCTGGTGGTCTGAACGGGAAATCTGGTGGAAATACCAACTTTCCATGGTAGAAGCCACCTGCAAACAGTGACACTCCAATGAGTCACAGTAAACAACCACAATACCAGATAATAACAGATGACAATGAATAAACGAGCAAATAAATGCCACGAAAACCTTCATAGGGTGTCGACGGTACTCCTTCAATAACGTAATGCCACTCTAAAATATTCGAATGCAGTGGCGCAGCTAACACGTATGGAACAGGATCCTGCAAATTTAAAACAATTTTCCATTTCAATTTCTCATTCCACCAGGCAAGATTCGGTGCTTTCCGAAGAGCAGCAGTCAAAGTCGAATGAAGAATTGCACAGAATTTGAAACCTTAAGAAGTTTTGAATAATCCTTCTTCAGCCTCGCAATCGCAGTCACTGACGCAGAACCAGCCATCTCGCTGCTGAGATAAACTGCAAATGAAATTCCAAAGGAATATTCTCATATCAATTTCATAAATTCCAAAAATTCTTCGCCATACCTTTCCGCTCAACTCAAACAAACGCAAATTTCACACCATATACATCAAACAGATATTCAATTCAAACCCGCTGCCGATTTTCCAAATTAACACTGACGAATATGCAGAACGCAAATGTAAAAAAATCATATCGCAACGCTACCAGACACTATCCACCTGCGATAACACAACAACGTATCAGCCAACTCTTCTTATTCAGCTTATCAAAGCAAGCAATAAGCAAATGAACACTGTTATTGGACCAGTCTTGCAAAATAGTATTCATCGATAAGAAATATATTCATAAACACGATCTCAATCGCCCTTCGACGAATCAGTAGCATTCAAACAATAAATATCAGAAACAACAAAACAGAATGGCATAAAACTGGCATCGAATAAGATGGATAAACACCATCCACAAAACAATGCGATCCAACTAGACGTATAGTCCACAAAACGGAGCTGGATTAAGTTTATTTTACTTGGTTAAACCGAAGTAAAGATGATCGAGTGCAAATCTCGAGGTAAAACCCTGCACTGATCATCTGCTCTTACCAAATGAACAACCAAACAAATTCACTACTTACCGATGCGAATAACAACGTAAATCACTTCCAACCGATCGCTATCGCAATACAACAACAAAAATAAGCGAACCGAAAAAATACCCGAAAAAACACCGTCTTTCATAAAACTCAATGGAATATGATCAAAATTTGAAGGGTTGAGTGAACAAATCAAAGAAATGTTATAAAAAACGATAACGACGAGTGAAGAAGTAACTCAATCACGTAGATATATCCGTTGAAAAATACAAATATATGTAATCGAGAAACGATTCCAAACGTTTTCCAATGGAGTATTGCGACATTTCAAAGAAAAAAATTTTATTATTTACACATTCATCTAAATAAACATAAAAAGATCCTCGAAAAACCAACCAAAACACGTTTTTTCACAACACAATAATAAGAATCACCACAATTTGCGAGAATCGTTTACAAAAACAGAAATAATCACTCCAGCAAAAAATATTCAAACCAATTACAACAAATAAATAAATTACGCACGCAAACAATTAAATATTACTCAATCGCATATTAACAAATATAAATAAAGAACCGAATATCTTCAAGAACAGCCAAATACTAAAATTAAATCAGCCAAATCAACGCCTCGATAAGAACTGACTGTAAGAGCGATAGCTTAATTCATACATTACATCACGGGTTCCGATTCCACTCGAGTGGCAGCAAATCGAATGGCATACCATTTACTGCTACTGATAATCGCAAAATAAATTAACATTCGATCAAAAAAGAATCGATTCACACAAATAAATCACTTCGTAAACCAACTCTAATAGATGCACTCTGAAATAAAATACGAGACAGCTGCACTGCAATACAATAACGCGCCATACAATTATAATAATAACAATTATTACAGGCAATTGTAAGAGAATTACAAATGGAATCATGCATTTACGGAATCACAAAACGTTTATAAATTAAATTCATTCAATCAACCAGTGTCTCTGCGATTCGACGACACTTCATGATCAAAATAATCAACTCAATCTTCACAAAATGCTAACTCAGAGACATCATCTCTCCGCGAATCACCATTCAAAAAACTCCCCTAATGCGTAAGTTCTTAACGTGCTAACGCTAAAATGCTTTTGAAAGTGAGAAAACATAAACACTCTCAAAACAGCCCAACCAAACCCAAAACACTCTTATTTGGCAGATCCGTGAGGAAAGATCATTCCACACAGCAACTAAAATCAATTACAATAAAAAATCGAAGCAAAAGCCAAGCAAAGGTGACGTTCTCCTATCCAGCAATACCCACTCTTTCCTGATCGCACAACCCCAAATCTTGTGACTAACTGCCGAATCTGTCAAAACTCTACCGATTTCCACTACAAATCCCTGAAACGAGAAAACTTTCATTTTCCAATTTCACCTCTCTTCTTTACTTTTGACTCATTTATGCCGACATTTCACTTCATCTTAATTTATGCTCATAACAATGTCCTCACTCTCATATTCAGCTCCGATTGATGTTTATTATTTCAAAAAAAAACTGATACATGGAAAGCAATTCAAATCGAGAAGGCAACAAAATTGGATCGATCAAATTTAAAAAATCAACTTACAATAACTTCGAAGACGACTGGCAATTGGCACTAGGTGGTTGAGTGGGACTGACACGTGCCCTCTGCGAAATCGACGAAGAACTCGATGGAGGGGGTGGTAGCAGTGGGAAACCACCTGCAGTCGCACTTGAAGACGCACTTGCCGAGGGTCTAGCTCGAGGCGCTGACGTCGAGCTCTTCTTCTAAACCAATCAAACAATATTCAATCAGCTAAACAAATAAGTGAACGAATCCAATCAATTATCAATAAACAAGTCAATGCGAACAACTACGTAGCAATCACTACCCAATACTTGCTTCATTACCTAAAAATGTTACCAAATATAATGTAATCTACACTAATTTCGCTGAATTCCCCCATAAAAGTAAATCAACTCTTTTGTAAAACAACGCATCGATGAATCTGCACAACAACAAATCAAAAATTATTGTTCATCGCAAAACAAAAACGCGCTTTCAAATGGAATGAAAGTGCTAACACCGAGATTCAGATGAATCGTTTGTCCCTCTTTGAAACTCAAATCCAATTTTGGTTTGCTCAATTCAGTCTCATCCTCTTTCTCCAATTCATTCGATTTCTCCACATATCTGAAGTGATCTTGCAGTGCCACGTTCAAGTCGAATGAATCACCTCGATCGCCAAACCCAATTCCTGAAATTCATTTCTCTTTTCAAGAATCAGCCCTGAACAAGTTTCCATCTCAAAATACGTCATATAAATATGCATTCATCATTCCCATCGCCTCCAAAACAAGTTTAGAGCAGTCGGCGTTAAAAAAAATCGAATTCCTTGCACGCAATATATAACACGTGAACAATTCCAAAAATGATAAATGAAACAAAACAGCGAATCGATTGGAAAATTACGAGACAATCATAGAAGGAAGATGTAAAAGACTCAGAATCGATGTTGAGATGAGAAAAATGGAATGTAAAATATTATAAATCAGCACACGTACTCACCAATAAAAGCAGTTTGTCCATTATCGTTTTTGAGTCTAACGACGAAATATCGCGACGAATCAATGACCGGCTCGATGCAGATGCCGGGATACGACTCGATCGGTGCCTTCGCAAACAACGCTCCACTTGCCTTGTCCTCCAGACGTATCTCCAACAGCTTCCCGATCGCAACCAACCGCATACGACCCACCCAATTCGGTTCATCCAAATTCCAGTCAGCTGCCCTTCAATATTCACAGTTAAATTTTCATCGCATTCTCTCAAAAATTCATCCCATTTCCTCATTTCCTCTTGCCAATCGCCATCACCGTCTCGACGTCTCATTCAGTGCCTCACATGGCCAACCAGGAAATAATTCAACTCAGAAGTTGAACTGAGTTGTCGACATTTCCTATACTCACAATCAGCCTTACAACTAACTCTCACTTCCACTCCTTTCCCTCATCAAATCTCAATTCAAAACACCATAGATATATCGCCTTTAACCTTAACCTCAAGCCCCGCGCACATTCCCACTCAGCAATATCGTCAATCATCAACGAAAAGAGGTACAACTTACTTGTGTCCTCGATTACTGGCCAGTGGTGGGATTCTGTAGATGAACACCTCTGGCTTCACCAAACACACACGCTCGTACTCGTCACTCATTCTGCAGCTACAAAACGTCTCAACAAATCGTTTCATTTCAAAACACCATAGATATATCGCCGTTGTTCCGCACTTCCACTCCTTTCCCTCATCAAATCTCATACGATTCCGTTCTCGCTAATCTCGCTAATCAGGCCATATCCATAACAAATTTGCACACACCATCCCATCATCTTGGCCTATAACCCTTTTTGACAACGACCACTTTCTTGCTGATGCAATACCTAAGCATTGATGTAGACCGTTCAATTGACCAACTCGATTCAACACTAAATTCTTACGAAATACACCCACAGAGAGTCTCTGCTCTACTTATATGATCATCCACATTCATCCAGCGTTACACCACCAATGGCCAACTAACTAACTGCACTCGTGAGCCGACCACAATTATTACGAAATGACTCTTCAAC